AAGGTCCCAGCATGGTCACACCCAGCATGCTCCAACACACGAGGACAGCGTGACACGGTGACACCTCCCAGTGGCTCAGCTTGAGCCCTGTCCTGTCCCTCTGCTCCACAAGAGCTGGAAGTGGCACAAGTGCCAGGGCTGGGCACAGGGAGGGCTGTCTCTGGGACCTTTCATAAGTAACCACAGAAAAGATTCCCGCTGCTTTATTCGCCCATAATTGATATGACAGTGCAGTCAATACATTATTAAACTAACAGCATAGCAGTGCTGTTACTGCGCTGCACAAGCTCGGAAGTATGCCTATTTTTTTGTGTGTGTATTTCATCTTCAAGGCGAAAAAAAAGAAAAAGAAGAGCTTTGGGGCAGACTAAAGCCAGGTGAATTTCTTAGGTGAATAAACTGCAAAAGCCATGCAGTGTTTTGCAACGGGGGACTGCACGCTGCATCTGCAGTCCGTCAGGGAAAAGCCTGCGGGCTCGTTGTTTGTGCTCCTGGCTCCGAGAAGGCACTTCTGTTTGGTGCATTTTTTATTCAGATTTCCTAAACTCGAGCTCTCCTCACCCCTTCTTGGTCCGAAGCCCGCTGGGCGGCTTTGGGACGTCACGGGGCGCGGCGAGCAGGGAACGGCCCCGGCTCTCAGCTCCGGCAGCGCTGCCAGGAGCCGCTCCGAAATGCCCATAAAAGCCGCTCTGCAGCGATCTGGTGCGTCTGAGCAAGCATTTGCACACACCTCCGAGCCCCTGTCTGTCTCAGTTAGCTTCAGCACGTCTCATGGGGCAAGGCAGAGCCGGAGAAGACGGGCGATGACGTGCGGGAAGGAATTAAAGTTTGAAAGCGCTCGGAGTAGCGGCTGCAGGCATGTGATGTCAGACGAGCCCTGGTGTCTCCCCATTGTGCTTTATGGGACACCCCAAATCCTGTGCTGTTAGAGCTGTCTGCATTCCATCTTTTGGTACCCAGCTCCCCTCCTCCCTTGGTGCTGATTTTCCTCTTTAGTAGTGCCCCAGAGTCACTGGGATGCTGCAGAGAGGAGCGCAATACCTGCACTCCTTTGCACTGCCTTTGCGCATCCTTCCGTTGCTCTGGAGCCTTTGTGTCATGTACAACGACCTTGAATGCAACAGGAATTGGGTCTCCAAAGGGGCAAGGCACTTTTGCTTATTGGCTTCGTGATGCTGGGTGCTCTGAGCCTCAGTTTTTCCATCTCAAAATGGTGTCACCATGACATATACTTAATTTTTTGAAGTACTAGCTTAGGAAAGGAGATTCAGGGTTAACAGACCTGAAGAGCCCTGAGGAATGGAACTTCTGGCATTCTCACAAACCCAGCTGAAGATGTGAAATGCCCATGTGAGGTTTACGCATCGGTGTGTCGATACCTACGATGTGGAGAACTTGGGAGAACGTGGGAGTGGTGTGGCCACATGGTGCTCAGACCAAGCTGTGCAGAGAGCCTGGAGCTGCTCTTCAGCTTTGTCACCACTGCCTGGGGACAGAGAGGTGGAAAGGGCTGTGGGACTGGGTTGAGTGCTGTGAGATGGAAATGGGAACGAGAGGTGGAGAAACTGCAAGAGGGTCACCAAGGACCTGGGCCGGGGTAGTTTGGCCAAACAGAGGTCTAAGGAGTCCATTAGCACTTACAGCTCCAAGACAAGAAGAAAGATAGCGGAGCTACGTGTCCTTCGGTAGGGGCAGATAATATAAAGTGCGATTGTAGCCACAGATGGTGGCTTGGCATGGCTGGGCTGGGTTTCCTGCAGGAAGGTGGGAACCTGGAGAGGTGGTGGGGCTCCATGCCTGGGGGTTCTCGAGCCAGGACTGGCCTCATCCATCACTGGTGACAGTCTTACTGTGAGCAAGATGTTGGATGGAAGGCTCTGGAGGTCCCTGCCCACTAACACCACGTAATGCTATAATGGGTCTCCAGATGTTTGGATGCTGATCCATACTGAAAACAGCACTTCAACCCCAAAGTGTCCTGCAGCTGCTGGCCAGAAAGATCTCTGAGAGCTGATGTGAAGTCCTGTAAACTGCCATTGGTGAGTCCAGCAGTGCTTGCTCAGTGGTTTTGGAGATGTGAGACTTCCCAGACAAGAGTGGGAGGAGGAGAAATCGGTGTTGGCGGTGAGCAGAGGAAAACCCATGTTGTGCCTGGAGGATGCACACTTTCCCATCACTGTCCCTCAAACACTTTGGAAATGACACGGGAACGTCCTCTCTGCTCTGGGACAAGTGCCAAGGCTCAGCTTCCAGATAAGCAGTGAGAAACAGCAAAACAGTACAGCACCTCCTCCAAAGTGCAGCCTGTATGGGCTTGGGGCTAGCAGGGATGCAAGGCAGCCCCTGCGACAGCCCTACGATCCCCCAAAGGAAACTCTGCCTCCTTGCAGGCAGGTGGCTCTGTGTTTTGTCTGGCAGACCCTTTTGGGTGCTGTCAGTGCTTGCAGCAAGCCAAGTCAGGTTTGCACTCACACAGGACATGGGAACGCGGATAAAAAGGTTTGGGGAGAGAACCTCCACCTGCTGACAGTGCTCTGCCCAATGCAGCCCAGGACACCACTCACTACTTTGTCCCAAGGGCACACTGCTGGCCCACGGTCACCTCAGTGTCCCCAGGCCCCTGCGGCCATTTCCCCCAGGGGTGCTGGGGGGGTTGTTCCTCCCCAGCTGCAGGACTGTGTGCTTCTTGCTGAACTCCATCACATTTCACCTTGATTTCTCAGCTGATTGCAACCTGTTTTTCACTGAGGTACTTAAGAAATACTTCCCAGGACCTGCTCAGTGGTTATGAACACCGACAGCCTTCACTCCCAAAACAGGGTGCAGAGGAGGACGCTGTTGGATGGGAGATGCTTTGGGGTGAAGAGTGCTTCTATGAAAACATATTGCATGGAGAAACTTGGTTTGAACCAGGGTCACCCTCTCAGATGCTGCAGCTAAAGCCACTCACTTCCATGTAGAAGCAGGGACTGCAAAACAACCCAATGAAAAGCCCTCACCCTGAATCTCTGCAGGCATCGCATTTTCACAGTTCTCTTCTGTTTCTTCTCTGACTTCCACCTCACTGTGTCCTCTGCTTGCCGTGGGCTCCATGTCTTCCTGATGCCTTCATACTGCTTTGCTGGTGGCTGGAGAAAGCCCTGTCCCACTGTGGCCCTGGTGCTGGGGTCAGGCTGGAGGCTCTTCTCTGAGTTTGCCAGGGCTGAGGTATCCCTGGTGTGAAACATCTCCAGAAAACCAAACCACCCCCACCCCCGTAAAACAACATTTAAAACAAGTATTTGGTTTCTTAGCTAAAAAGTGCTTTTTCTTTTTCCCTTCCCAGAGGACAACAACCTGGCAGGGATTGGGCTCTCTGGCTTAGCAGCTCGTTATGCAGCCTTAGAAAAACAGCTGCCTTGCCACCATCCGTATGAGAACCCAATGTGCAAATCCTCCGTGCTGCGCACACACAGCTGCAGCTGCTGCAGCCCCAACCTAGAAAGCAAAGTAATGCAATGCCAGCGCTCCCCTCACATTGTGCCTCCTCATGTGAAGACATGGTCAAGCTTTGCTTAATTTTGGGATCCACCTTCGTGCTGGTGCTGGATCCACAGCTCCTTGGTCATGCCGGGGTGGCTGAGTTCAGGGCAGTTTGTTCCCTGTATGAGCAGGTGGAGAAGCAGATTGGGATAGGGCTTGAGTAGGGTCACCAAACCCAGGTGTGAGAGAAGGAACCAGCTGTGATCACACCCAGCCTCGCTCACTTCATGACATACATGTGTGCAAAACGTCCCTGACCTGCAGCTGATGTCCTGCTCATGGACTGAGTTCCATTTCGAAGGGAAGTTCAGCTCTGTTGGGACAGCATGGTCTGAAGAGGAAGGAATGGAGTTGTGCTGGGGAGATGGCCATGGGGGACGGGTCAAGGAGGAGATGTGTGTGACTCACAGCATCCCCATAAAGGCAGTCCCTGAGCTGGAGAGGGAAGGGAGTTGATGGCCATCAAAGACCCACAGGGTGATCAAGGGACAGAAGCAGCTTCCCTATGAGGAGAAGCTGAGATCTGGGACTTCAGCCTGGGAAGGAGGAAGCAAAGGACTGGGGGCACACATTGCCTTTCCAGCTTGGGGTGCCAGTAGGACCAGGAGGCTAATGTAGAACTGATGTTTTCCCTCTCTCACCCAACCTTGGGGCTGAGCAGGTAGACAGCACTGAGTACGATATCAGCTCAGATCCCCCTGCCCATTTCATTGGGATGGGGCCAGTCCACGGACCCGCGTGGACATGGAGAAGGGCAGAAAGTGGACACAGGGCTGCTCTCCCAGGGAATGAGGGGCTGCTGCCGTGGGGGCTGCGGGGATGCTGCTCTGAAGGATGCAGGGATGCAGTTTTGAGGGATATGGGGATGCTGCTCAGAAAGATATGGGGAAAACATTCCGGGGCATGAAGGGATACTTTTCTGGAGGATATGGGGATAACGTTTTGGGGGATGAAGGGATGCTTTTCTGGGGGATTTGGGGCTGCTGCCCTGGAACGGAGCCCACATCCTGAGCCCCAAGGGCTGAGGTGCAGCTTTCAGCGGGGGGTTTCGGCATTGCTGCCGCAGGACTGTCGGGCTGCAGCCCTGAGGTTCCTGGAGCCCTCGAGGGAGCCCACAGGAATCGCCCCCTGCTCTGTGGCCGCCGGTCCCTTTAAGAAAGTTGAAGCCCGAAAGTTCACCAAAGTTGAGAAAGTTTTTCGTGGAAAGGGAGAGAAGAAAGGAAGAAAAAAAAAAACCCACAAAAAAAAGCACACACAACCCCCCCCCCCCCCCCAAACCCACACGCATTAAAAAAAAATAAAAGCCAGCCCCACATCCCCCTGCCCCCCCGCGGGGGCGGGCCGGGCCGGGATTGGAGGAGGGGGGCCCGGGGGCGCCCCCGGAGGGGGGGGGGCGGGGGGGGGGCGGGTCCCGGCCCCGCTGCTCCGTGCGCGGCGGCGGCGGCACCGGGAGCGGCACCGGGAGCGGCGGGGGCCCCGCAGCTGCGGCTCGTTGCGCTCCGCTCCGCCCGGTTCTTAACGGCGGAGCCGAACCCCCCTCCCGGGACACCGCATGTGAGCCGGGAGGGCAGCTCCGCACCGCGCACCGGCACCGCACGGCACCCGCTCCCCGCTCGGAGCTGCTGTTTCACTCGCCTTCCCACCACCACCCCCCTCGGCCCCCCACCATGAGTAACCTCAATAAGGACACCGAGCACACCAACGGCGGAGGAAACGTCGAGGAGGAGGTGGGAGCTCGTGGGACGCGTTGGGGAACACGTTTTGGAGCACCGAGAGCCGGGCGTCGGGGCTGGAGCACCGGGAGTGCTGCACGTCGGGGCTTCGGGGTCCCGGGAGCAGGGACCTGGAGCACCGAGGACCCTGCGTCCAGGGAACCGGGGCTGTTGGGGCTCTGGAGTACCGGAGACCCACCGGCATCAAGGCTCAGGAGCCCCAAGAATAGGGATGCAGAGCAGTGCGGACCCGAGGGTTCCAGAGTCCTGAGAGCTGCAGCATTGAAGGCTCACGGTGTTGAGGCTCTGAAGCTGTGGGAGTGGTGGCCCAAGGCACCGGGGCACCAGGGAGCTGGGACTTCTGAGGCTCTGGAACTCTGTTAGTGGGGAGCCGGAGCAGTGGAGACTCGAGGCAGTGGGGCTGAGGAGCACTGAGGGTTTGGCTCCTTGGGATCTGGAGCCCCAGGAGCTGTGACCTGGGATATCTGGGCTTCAGAGCATAGGTGATCAAGGGTGTGAAGGCTGCAGCACTGGAGACACAGTGTAAGTGAACGGTGTTGGGATGCTGATGCATCTTTGGGTTGCAGAGCTGAGGTCCAGCTGTAAGAACTGGAGGGCTGGGACGTCGGGGCTCCAGCACTGCAGCGCAGTGTGTGTTGGCTTTATCCAAGGCTGGAAGTATGACTACTGGCTGCAGTGTGGTGAGCCCTGGGTGATCTTGTAGTCTCCTGGGTCAAGGACCTCATTCCCTTGGAGTTGGAGTGACCAAGATCTGACATCCAGATGCCAATATAGGTGACAGGGACAAATTTAAACTGTAGTGATGGCAGCTGCACCAACAGCCTAGCTGGGGCTGATGGGGCTGTGTGCCACCCTAGCCACTATCCCCATCCTTTAGATGGTCATCATGAGACAGACCACATGATGGGAGGGCTCCTGAGCGTCCCTGTGTAGCGGCCCACGGAACCATCCCACAACCCTTGGGGTGGTGGTGGTGCAGCAGGGTCACCCGCCCTCCTCCATCTTGGAGGAAAACGCAACGTTTTGCTGCAGTCCTCCACGCCTGGCCCTGGGGAGCAGGAGATGCTCAGCCCCCTCCCCTCGCCCTCCTCCAGCACGCCGTGCGCTCACACCGCCGCAACATGGCGCCCGGGCTGGCTGCCCGCCGCCCACCGGGGCCCTTTGGTCCCTGCGCGCCAGCTGCCTCGGGGACAGTGTGTCCTCCATCCTGGGGACCTGGCTAATGGGGTGGAATGGGCGCGCAGGTGTTGGCCGCAGTGTTCCTTCTGCTGTGCTGAGCGAAGCTGAGGTGATGCGATGTCGCACCGCTGGGGACGTGTCCCACCTCGGTGGGTGGCACTGGGGGGACAGCGTGTGCCGTTTTCTGGGTGCGGGGAGGCTCTGCACCGGGGGGTTCTGTGCGCTGCGTGTGCGGGGCTGCGGCTGTGCGCTCCAATTATCTGCTGGCTGCGGTGGTGCTGCACCCTTACGGTGTTTGGGCAGTTTGGAGAGTGTGTCGCCTCCAGTGTGATGCTTGCTACCTGGAAGATGGGGCTCAAGGTCTGTGCTGTGGGGTGCCGGGCTGGCTGAGTGACGAGTGTCCCCTGCTCTGCACTGCATGCAGGGAGAGGGATGGCCCAGCCTATCCTCTTAGATGTGCTGCGTGGTGGTAGCTGGGGATGCTTGGAGGTGATTCTGGGACTGGTGGGATGTCCCCATCCTGACTGCTTGGGTTCCGTGGTGGTCCTCTGCAGGACCCCCCCACAGTGCTGCTTTACCCAGCTAAGCGGGAGCTGCGCTTCTCTGCTGAGGATCCTGATGGTGGTGGCGGGACCGGGAATGACCTCATGTTCAGGGGACTTCGCCACATCCAAGCCAACCCAAATTCAAGCTCTCATCCAGAGCTCCCATTGCTGCATGTCAATTCACTCCCCATTAGCAGTAATTACGTTTAATTACTGAACTGAACCGTTCAACCCCAATGCAAGCAGGAAGGGGTATGGCGCTGGGATATCTTCCTAAGCTGTGCAGAGAATAACACCAGATCCTGGAGCTGTAAACACCTTTTCTGCTTTTCACCTTCCTCCATGAGCCTACTTTGCTGCTTCCCTGAAGGGCACTGCGTGCCCCAGATATGGCGATGCAAAGCTCCCAAATTGAGCCTTTCCCTTTATCTAATCTTCAAGCCCCCACATCTCGCAGCCCCTTCCTGCCCGGTGACATGCTGAGCACAGGAATGCCTCTTACTCCTCTCTGGGTCGCTAATGGGAATGTTAAACAAACAGGGCCGACTGTCAGCCCCTGCTGTTCCTCACCAGACACCTCCCCAAAGCCGATCCCTCCCCACTTCTGCTATCTTCTGTTTAGTTTTCCAGGCAACTGCCGATCTGCGCGACAGCACCCATCCCGAGGGGCACTGCTGGGTGCTGTGCGCTCTCCTTGCTTTCTCCAGCAGCCCAAGGAGCTTGTTTGCTTACCATGCATCTTGTTGTTCCGTCCCATTGATGCAGAGGTGTTGCTCCTGCTCTGGTTGGGATTTGGAAGCCTGATGTTAAACCTTCCTCCCCCAGGAGGACACTGGAAAGGTCCTGGGAACTGCTGTGTTCCCAGGCTTCCTCTATCAATGGGGCTGCTCTTACCAGGGGGATGGGATGTGGGAGTCTGTCTCCTGGTGGCCCTTGGAAGCCTATGGAATGGCTTCCTTCTCCTTCCTCGCTTATTCAAATCTACGTTTCTTAGACTCCAATCTGAACTGCTTTGAGCATCAGTATTCCAGCTGGTCTCCATGACATGAGAACTGTTATTCCTTCTGCCTGCTGATCTAGTAAACAAGACGTGGCTTCGGAACTGAGTTTCTTTCCTTGGCTAGCCACAGGAGCTATAGAACAGAGCTTTCCGTGATGGAAAATGGTTTTAAGTGGTGCATGGTAAAGCTCTGAAGGGCCCAAATCTAAGGCTTCCTTGCCAAGATGGGTGAAATAGGAAGGATGCTCTTAGAGCATCTGGAATGCAGCTCTGAGAGCTCCTGGCATTGCTAGGGGAATTGGCATTGCATGAAGCCAAGTGTGACTCTTTGGATCTGGTAGAGAAAGCTTTTGGAGCAAGAAGATATTTTTGGGATTGTAGGTCTTGGCCATGTTAGACTTTGGGTCATGAAGATTGAGTGGTGAGATCACGGAGCTTCTGCCTGTCCTGGCCCTGAGTGCCCAGAATAAAGGCTTCAGCTCAAAGATTTATCAGGGTGTGAGAGTGCTTGGCACCTTCTCTGCAGGAGCACTGTGCCCTGACTGGGAGCAAGGAGCCTTTTCCTGTGTGGGTATTGACCTCTGCTGCGTGCCCTATAGGCACAGATGCTGTCACTGTGAACACAGAGGCATGGTGTAGGTGTGAGACCTTAGCTTGCCTTTGTGGGTCAAAGCTGTTGTTCTGGGAGCTTGGCTCCCCATGCTCTCCTTGGGAGGATGATGGGCTTGCATCTGCCCTGCCCCTATCCTCTGGGCTGTATTGTGTGCGTGGGGTCTTGTGGGGAAGAGCCCTGTGTGGTGCAGAGGGGAATCAGGACTTGGTGCTGCTTAAAGTTGGCGTTTAGGGTCTGTTTTCTGTGTAGCGCTGTGCTGTAGTTCTGTCTTGCCAGGAACTGGTCTAATGCAATGGTGGTTCAGTCTTGCAGTTGCCTTGGCATCCTACCAGCATCCCCAAAGGTGTGATTTGAAGTGACACTCGTAACTAGTGTTACAGCAGAGAACTGCTGCAAACTTTCAGCTTGCCATTGCCTGGCTCGTGAGCTTGGACGCAGATGAGGACCCAAGAGGATGGCATACCTGGGGAGGGTCCTGCAGCCAAACCCACATCCTGTGCTCAGGGCAGAAATGGTAGGTGGGAGCTCATCTCCCACCAGAGCAACTGCTGTGAAGCTGCCCCCCTGGGATAAAAACTAGCAGAGCTTCCTCTGCCCCAACCACGTCCTATTCTTGGGTGCTGCCCTGTTGTGCCAGGGCTTATCGGCACCCATGTGCTTCCTGCTGCTCCAGGCAGCTGCTGCTACCTCGCCCTCCTCCCCCCTTTGCTCGAGCTCCTTCCTGCCCCGACCACAGGAGCAAAAGCCCTGTAGGCCATCTGGAGTGGCCCCATTGGGTTTTTAGCTCTGGCAGTGGCATTCCCGAGCCTTTCCTTCTCTGCAGCCACATTTTGCACGCTTGGCTCCCCGCCTTTCCCATCCATGCCTTATAAGTCCCGGCTCCCGGGGCTGCCTGCAGCCTTGCTGCATTCCAGCAGCCTCGTGTCAAGTGGCTGCATCCCGAGAGCTCTGATCTTTGGGGTGCCCAAGCAGAGCATCGGTGGGATGTGTTCCTGTGGGAGCAGCTGTGGGGGCTGTGGCGTGGTGGGACCTTTTGGGGACGGGTAGAGAACCTGGCTGTGTGGAGCAGGGACTGCCTTTGGGACCTGACTGACTCTATGGGGTCTCAGCTTTGTGAGAACAGGGGAGTAGGAAATGGATGTCAAAGCTGCGTCCTACAGGAGGGAAGGCTGTGCCTTGCTCACTTGTGGGAGGATTCAGAGTAGACAGATTTCGTCTCTCTTGACGAAAGCCTGGAGACCTCCCAGAGCAGCCTCGCAGGAGATGTGTGCTTGTGCCTTTGCATTTTTGACATAACTTGACCCTTGCTGGGCTGCAGGGCAGTATCTACGTGTTCTTAAGACTCCCCTTCAAGCTTATACGAAACAAATGTGACCAGGAGATGTGGACCTGAAGCTTTGGTGCTGAGAACCTGGCTGTGCTCACACCAGATATCTCTTCTGGGGCACGCAGCGGAGTAAGAAAGGCTTCAGAGCCACTGAGGATCTCAGCACTAATGGCTTCGTCCTTGTCCCTCCCTGCTTCTGCGTGGGAAGCTATGCTGGGATCCTCCCTCTTCAAGCGATGGCCTAGACGGTCCTGTCCGTCCTGGCACAAATCCTGTTTTCCATGGCTCTCCTCCATCTCTGCCGGGTGTTTGCACCAGGGACATCCCCAGAGGGGGCTGGGACAGGGAAGGGAATACATACATCTATATACCTTTTTTTCTTGTCTTGTGGCTTTTCTAGCTGCCTCTGTGGGGAAGCTGAATGTTGAAGTGGATCCGATGCTGAGTGGCAGAGAATTGAAGTGGGGCAAATTGATGAAGGCAGGAAGGTGGAGGTCCTGGTGGCCTCTTGAAGGGTTTAAGGTTCTTGGAGAGCCCTGTGGAAGTTACCCCACTGGAAGATGCTTTTCCAGACCCCTTACTGTTTCTCCTCTGTAATTGCACTTTTTGTATGTAGGAGGTTGGCCTAAGGTCCCACCTCCTCCCCTAACAAGGTCTTCTGAGCCAGGACCTTCCTTAGTCTCTCGTGATCCTTGGGCACATACAGTTTGGAGATTCTGGCTGGTGGCACTGGGGATTGCCCAGGCTTTCTTGAGGTGATGCCCATCCTTGCCAGCTGCTGTGGGTTGTCTGGAATCCCCATTTCTCAATCTGTGTGTTGTGACAAACTGTACCTGGAGGCCAAGGGGAGCTTTTAAGCTTTGGAATAATGTATCCTGTTCCTGTCCAGATGAGGACAGCGTTAGGGGCTTGTTCCCTCTGACAAAGAGCTTTCCTGGGCACCTGCACTGCTCTGATCAGGCTGTTGTAAGGGCTTTGGGTAGCCGACTTTCTCCCTCCCCAGGCAATGGCATGTCCTTCATTCTGTCATGCCTGTCGCAAGGACTTACTGAGCTGCACATCACGGGACCATTTAGAGACCCAACAGGGATGCAGATTTCTATCTGCTTGGAAGAAACATCCATTTCTGGGGCCTGAGCGCACTCAAATCCTGAAATATTGAAAAGGGATGGTGCTTTCACATGGCTCAGGCACATGTGCCATTGCACTCCATGCAACATTTCCCTGCAAGAAATGGCGGTGTGTCTTCTGGGAATGCACAGCAGCTGCTTCGTATAGCCCATGCTGAAGCCTGAAGTTGTCAAGGTGCTTCTGGCTGCCACTGCTTGCTCAGCTCAGGCATAAGATGGTTCTGGAGTGGTGTGCTGTGGCACCAAACGAGTTGCTGGGCTTGGTGGGGAGGATGTGAGGAGAGAATAAGGATGCTCAGTGGTTGTATCCCATATACGCTGGCCTAGAGAAGGGCTCTGCATCCTAAAGGGGGTGGCAGCAGCCCACTGTGGTGCCTGCTGAGTGCTGGTGGCCCTTGATCCTTCCTCATGAAGGGAATGAGGGGCAGAGCATCCAAGAATTTGTGATTTATGCCCATCCTATAGGGTTTAAGGTACCCCCTGAGCTGATGTGAAAAATCTCTCTGAACTGAGAGAGGGACTTGAGGGAGCACGCGTTTCCTATTGGAAAGCAACAGAAACATTGCGTTTCTTCTCACTTGAGTGGGAAGAGAGCTTTAAAGAGGCGTCAGGTGCAGCCCGCTTCTTCTGAGGAAGGGGAGATGCCCAGCCAAGGCAAGTGTGGGTTCGGAATGCTTATGCCATGGAAGTGTGATAGGGATGTAAACTCCAGCTGGAAGTAGGCCAGGAGATGGGCTCTGTGCTCCTGGTCCTGCTGGGTGTCCTTCCTAGATGTGTCTGGTATGATTTGGTGCCAGCAGGCATTTGGGTGTTCTTGCTGTCCTTCTCTACTTCCAGTGTTCCACAGGCATGTTTGGGATTGCTTCAATGGGAGGCATGCCCAGGTGACTTGAAAGCAATGAACAAAGATTTCCATCTTGTTTCTAGAGCCCTTTTTTCTGTCTTGCCATGCTTCTCACTCCTGGTGAAGCTGAGCTCGTTTTCTCCCAGTCCTTTTCAATGATGACTAGTGCCTTGGTGACCTCTGTAGCATATAACTTCCCATTCTAGCTCTATGCTGACTTACAGGAAATCTTGGCAGCTTCATCACTCTGCTTCCTATGGAAATAGGCTGGCAGCCAGCATCTCCCAGTGCAGGGAGAAGGTGGCTATGATGGTCTTGCTGCTCAGCAGCGTTCTTCCCAGCCTTTAGCACTGGTCCATATTCCTGGCTATTTATGTGCATTCTACCACTGTCTGTTGAAGTCATCTTCTGTTGTGTTTGTGCTTCTACAAAGGCATTTGGATTTGTTTTATGAGTTCTACAGCTTGGAAGAGCAGTCGCATCCTTGGACTTGGTGTAGTGTGGTTTGAGAGTGACTTCCAAAGAGTGCTGAGGAAGGAGTTGGGCTGGACCCCAAATTATTCTCCTGGGGCTTCTGAAGTCGAAGATACTTGTGTAGTTATGAGGTGGCACTGAAAGTTGAGGGCTTTCTTTTGATTTAGTGGCTGAATTGAGGCACCAGGATGGGCTAGGGGTAAGACATCTAGTGATCAAGCACTTGATATCTCTAGAAGAAGTTAGAGAGACAGCTGAGGTTGTTTCTTCTGGAACCATGATGTGTCAAAGTTTCCTTTAGTGCTTTTGACAGCATACGGTCGTCTAGCAGACCTCAAGCCTTTGGCATTGAGGTTTGTTAAGAAACTGTGGGGCTGCTGTCCATACCCTATTCAACCCAAGTCTTCTTCTGGAGCCTGAATCTTTTGTGAAGGTCTAAATCCCACTGTGGGAAGTAGAAAAGGCCTGCCTGCACCTTGCCCAGGACAGTGCTGCTCTAACACAGGGAAGTGTTAGTGCCTGCAAAGCCACCATTGGTGCAGGATGTCCTAATCCCATTGCACCTTGCTTCTGAACTGCGCTCTGTGTTCCTCCTGCAGTACTAAATATCTCCTTTCAGTAGACCTCGTTGACCTCTTTCCTAGGTACGGACGCTGTTTGTCAGTGGCCTTCCTGTGGACATCAAACCCAGAGAGCTCTACCTACTCTTCCGACCATTCAAGGTAAGGAAGTCTTTGTGTTTTGTCTTTAGTGGAAAAGATGCTATCTTGTGGCAGGAAGCAAGAATGAAGTGAGGAGCTAAGCCTTCTGTTAAAGCTTTGGGGAACCTGGGAGATCCAGTCCTAAATGTCCTGGAAGTCTTTCTGTAGTCTGCAGCATGTGTTGAGAGGAGGCTGGCTTAGGTAAGCTCGATGTACCTGGGCTAGGACACATGTACTGATCAAATAATGTGGTGCACATAAGTCAACCTGCTGTTGCTTCCATCTAGCTGTGGTGTAGAAAGAGGGTATGGGTGGCTCATCAAAATGAGCCTCTTTCCAAGAGCCCTTGTGTTCCCCACTGGAGCAGGATGCTCGTCTTTTAATAGCTTGGCCAAGAGCTAGATTTCTTCCCAGAGAGGCAGAATAGGCTAGTTGAGATGAGATGCCTTCTCTGCTTTGTGACTGTCTTCTCTTTTGGTGGGAAAGAGTGAACTGGCACCCTTGGAGATGGGTTAATAGATCTCCCTCTGCAAAGCCTGTCTTGTGTAGGGTTTGGTACTGCAGGAGCTCCTGGAGCTGTTGCATCATGGCCAAGTTTTAGCTTGGCTCCTTCAGGAACCTGACGCTGTCTTGCTTTCTTCTCTTCTCCAGGGTTATGAAGGGTCACTGATCAAGCTAACATCGAAGCAGGTACCTCCTTTTCCTAGAGTTTGGGTATTTCTCCCTTCTGCTTGATGGGAATTGGGGACAGATGCCATTTCACTGTGTGTGGCATCACGTAGGCAGCTGGGTTCTGCTCATTGTCCCTGTCCTGGTGGCTGGAAGCTGTCAGTGTATGCTGGATGTCTCCTTATTTCCTGAGATTGACTGGGGTCATGGATGCTAGATGAGAACAGGTCCTTCAGCCCTGCACCAGGGGTCCCTATTCTAGCAGCAGCTCTGCTTGAGGGCGAGCAGCAGCTTTGCCAGAGGCTGCCAGGGTGAGAAGTGCCCGCTGTGTAGGGATGAGAAAACTTTGTGCTGGGAGAGGACAGAGCAGGAGTTAACGATCCAAGGCCCTTCAAGCTCTGCTTCGAAGGCTCAATACAACTTTGCTTGGCCTCTTCTGCTTGCTGTAAGCTATCTGGGATAGAAAGGGTGGCAGGGGTAGGTAGTGGATCTGAAAGATATTTCCAAACTGAAATCAGTGTTGTTTCTTGTAGCCGGTTGGTTTTGTGACCTTTGACAGCCGAGCTGGTGCTGAAGCAGCAAAGAATGCCTTAAATGTGAGTACTGGAGGTACTGGGAGGACTGGGGGCCATACACACTGCTGTCACTTGGTCTGGAGCACGAGTGATACTTGGCTTGTCCCTAGCGTAGGAAGAGCCAAGGAGTCCCAGCTGTGCCCTCAAATGTGGTAGTTAACTGGTCATGCAATTTCCCAGAAGCCAAGTGGGAGAGCTGGTCATATTTAAGGGTGCCATTAGTCTGGGTAAGTCCTTGTCCTGGCCTCTGACCTGCTAGGAGCTCTGCTGCCAGATGGAACCTGCTCCAGGAAGGTGCAATGTAGGGGAAGCAGCCTTCCCATGCTGCTGCTTCTGTGGCCAGAGCTGTCTGGTACAGGCAACAGGAATACATCTGCAGCTCTTCTGATCTGCTGCAGAGCTCGCCTTGAGTCTCAGGGTGTGTGCTTATCCAACCCAGGCTGGTACAGGTGTAGAAGCACCACAGATAGGAAGCTCCAGAGCAGACAGGGCATCTTAGCTCCAGCAGGTGGATATTTCCTGACTACTGCCAATAGCTGTCAGTGCTTTGCTGGCTGGGTAACTGCACATAAAGAGCAAAGCTATGTCCCTTAACGTGGAAGCAGTGGGTCCTAGGTCAGCTAAGTAGGGAAATGCAAGCATGAGGTGACAAACTGGGTATGTGACTGCAGGGTGATGGCCCTTGTTCCGCTGTTGGGCACTGTTACACGAATAGCTGCAGGCAGTGCAGTGGGACAGGAAACCTCTCTGAGAGACTCCTTTGCTTTCTTCTGTCACAGGGCATCCGCTTTGACCCAGAGAACCCTCAGACCTTGCGGTTAGAGTTTGCTAAAGCCAACACAAAGATGGCCAAGAGCAAGCTGATGGCCACACCAAACCCCACCAATATCCACCCTGCCCTGGGAGCACACTTCATTGCACGGGACCCCTGTGAGTATGCTGGGATGCAGCTTGAGGGCCAGCCTGGGAGGTACCTGGCACTGGGAATGCTGGTGGCAGGGCTTGGTGCAGCTGAGCATACAGCCAGGGTGGGAAGGAGAGCTGTGTCTTCTGGCTGATATCTGCCAGTGGGTTGGGGTTGCAGGAGAACAGCAGGCATCTGCTAAGGCTTCTGACCAACTCTGGAAGTGCTGAGGAGGTGGAGTGGTACCATCAAGGGCTTTAAATCATCTCTAGATGCAAAGCAAGAAGGGGCAGTGCTGTGCCGTGCAGCCTTGGCATGCTTTGGTGGTGTTCATCTTAAGCCTCAGAGTTTTAACTTGGAGTGGGAAATGCGGAGCCTGTCCCTGAAAGCAGGCAGTTGGTCCAGCTCTGAGCTGGCTGTCCCCTTGTCTCTTTGTCCAGATGACCTGACTGGAGCGGCTCTAATCCCGGCATCCCCAGAAGCATGGGCTCCCTACCCACTGTACACCACGGAGCTCACCCCTGCCATCCCCCATGCCGCCTTCACGTACCCAGCGGCTGCTGCTGCGGCTGCTGCTCTTCACGCTCAGGTGAGTCTCTCCCTTTGGCCCCTGCCAAGAGAGAGCCGCTCTCTCCTTCCCCTGGTGCTTCTTCCCTCGGGTCTCTGCTCTGCTGGCTCTCCCCTGGCCTCTGCACCTTGCTCCTGGCAGAGCTCTTCCTGCTGCTCCAGGCCCTGCACGGGCTGCAGGGCAAGTGGTGGAGCTGCTGAGTATGGGATAAATGGGAGACATGGATGCAATTAGAGCTCTGCTGCTCCCCCACCCTGCAGGCCCAGCTTTTCTCTTGGGCTGGGGGAAGGGAAGGGTTGGGGTGAGTGCTCAGTTTTTGTCTGGCGTTGGTCCCCATTGCCAGAGAAGCTTCTTGTGTGTCTGTGGGGAGGATGTGCTATGTGCCAGCAAGTATAACCATGAAACATCCTCCTTGAAGCAAAGGTGTGGGACCCTGTGGGTGCAGTGCAGCCACTTGCCATAGGCTATGGAGGTGCTGGTGATGCATACTGCTGCCTGCTGTCGCAGGGGCTGTGCTCCCTGATAGCTGGAGGCATAAGGATACCTCTGCTCATCTGATACTGGAATCATAGTACATGAAAGCATGATTTTCTTCTGAGGCCACCCACCCCTGCTAAGCATAACCACCTCCAAAATGGCAGAAATGCAAAAAGAAAGCTAAGTACAGGTTAGGCCTGAATTCCATGTGAAGGTGCTTGTTTTGGAGCACTTATGTAGGAGAACCTACCCTGCTTGATGTCACCAAGGGCTCTGCCTGTTTCAGTCTCTGTTCCCATAGTAGTGTTGGGGGCCAGTGCAGTGGGGCTCTGGGCTTTGTTCCCAGAGCATCAGGACTTAACTGCTTGGCTCTGCTTTTCCCTGCTTAGCCTGGGAGGAAGAAGAGCAATGTCCCATCGCCTTACCCACCTGGCTAACAGCTAAGTTGGCCCTTCAGCCTCTTCTTGCTCCTGCAAGTGTTTTGACCCTAGGTGAATGGCTTCAAGCCAAGCTTGTGTCCAGATGCAATGTGGAAGAGACGCAAGCTCCTTGCCTGCACAGACTTGTCCTCTGCTGCTTTTGTCCTGCTGGTGACCTAGCATTGGGCTGATGCTCCTGCAGGGTAGGCAAGAGGCATGTGGGGCTCAGGACAGGCTCAGCCTGGTGTTCTAGATATGCTGACCCTTCACTGGGTTACTTCCAGTTTGGGAGTTGTGTGATGTTCTCCAGGAGTGCCCACAGCTACAGGAGCATCTGACTGTGCGCCTGGGCAGCCCAGGAGGGCAGATTCTGTCCTTCCCTTGTGTAGGGTGGTGGAGCCAAGGGCTGTTGCTGCCCCTAGTAGTAAGAACCAGGAATGCCCTCTCCATCCTGGCTGGGACTGCTGAGGAGTGTGGAACCATTACTACTGTGGTTCCTTCAAGGATGATCATCAGTGACTGTACAGGGACCCAGAGCAGCAGGGTCAGACACCAGGGCTTTATGTTGTGTAGGGTGGACAGAGGAAAAAACTGCTCTCCCAGAATAAAGGAAGCCTTCAGTCAGATTCTCTCCATCTGGGTTTTTAGTTTAAACCTTCCAGTTGGCAAACTACTTGTGCTGGACAGGCAGCTTAACTCTCAGAGGACTCGAATCCTGGAGAGAGACTCTGGCTCCAGGGAGATACTGGGAGGACATGGGATGCCCTGCCCAAGCAAGTCCCTAATGGATGATGTTCCCATAAGGCCTGGGGAGTCAGTGTGTCCCTTCTGAGCTGTGGCTCTGATGAAGAAGAGTGGCTGGGCTGGCTGAGCAGTTACAGCTGCTCCTTGCTGCACTGCGCTTGAGGTTGGCGGTGATCTCACAGGGGGACATTCTGGTGCAGCATACATCACCAATAAAGTTTTATGGGGTTAAACATTACTTAAGTTGGCTGCTTGGAGCTGCCTGATCTCTAGGCTGGAGCCCTTTTCCTTGCAGAGCTGAGGCAGGGTGGAGTTAAGGCAGTGCGAGGTGACTTTTGCTCTCAAACTGGGCTAAAAGCTGTAACCTTGGTTTTGGTGTGCTGAGCCCTCGTTCTCACTGGTAGGGCTTGGCGGTGGTGGACACGCGAGCTGTTCTCTAGGACAGCGGTAGCTCCTCCTCCTGGGATTCCTCTTGGCTGGAGGGTATTTATGGGGATGGCTGGAGCAGCTCCACGAGCCATCAGCACTGCAGGGAGCACGTAGTTGGAGGCAGTAGCTGAACAGAGAGCTTGGTGCAAAAGGTTAAAACTTGAAGCACTCGTAGTCTCACAGCTCTGTGTTCAAGCCTGGTAGAAAGTAGGTGAGTAGGTGTCTGTCGTGCCAGAGGGCTGGCAGGAGATGGCAGGAGGCTGGTCTGGCCTCGGCTCATTTGCCAGGAGCTCTCAGTGAGCCGCTTGCAGAAGAGCAGGATGACTGCTGTTCTGGCACTGCTGAGCTGCTGTGCCATGGAGATGGGGTCCCTCCAGGCACCAGGCTGCCATAGGTGTGACTGTGACCTGAGCCGGCACTGCTAAAAGCCTCTACGTGTGGGGATTCCACTGACTTTAAGACTGTCCCATGTGCCTTCCCTCCCTCCCACCCTCTCTCAAATCCCTCCTTTGATGTCCCTAGTGAACTCCAGCCATGATGCCAGCGCAGGCTAGCCCTGAAGCTCAGAGCTGTCCCTGGAGATGGGACACCCTAGTGATGCCTTATTGCAGCTAGTGGAGTGGCTGTGCTACAGCTCCATTCCTAGAAGTGTTAAGCATGACGGCAGCCCCGTTTGGAAAGACTGGTAAGGTAACCATCTATCCTCCAAGATGCACCATGGGATTTGCAAGCTTCTGCCCATCTCTGTAGCCCATATTTCCTTGCCCACCCAGTGCATGGGCCTCACGCTACCCACCCACCAGAGCCTGGGGAATGAGATACCAGGCTTTCTTTCTAACCCACATCTCCAACTTGGCAGCACATGACATGGCGCACACAGCATGGCACCATCTTACATCAACTCCTCCCAGCTGAGCCAGGCTTGGCCAGGTCCTGCTGGTGGGAGGGGAGCAGCCCGGTTGAGCTGGGGCAGGGATGACCCTGCCACTTGGTGTGACAGAAACCTGGTTTCTCCCCATCCACAACCTTTTAAGGGCGACCAGAGATACACCTTGACCTCACTCCTAGCACACAATGGGGGAGGTGAGTGATGTGATAGCGATAGCACACAACTAAATTCTACCGGGCACCTTTAGACAACAGCACTTGGCGGTCACTTTATTCCAGAATTGCATATCGGGACAGACCCTGCCCTTAGTTGTGGGTCTAAACTCACCTCTTTCTCTCCAGTTACTGGAAATGGAGCAAGTTCCTGCCTGGAGCTTGTCTTCTCTTTGCGGCCTGAAACCACAGCCAGGCTGCGGCTCTTGTGAGCTGTACAGAAGGGCATCTGAGTGGGGATGGAAGGGAGCAGTGTAGGAGACCGGGAGGACGGGAAAAGGGAATGTGGGAGAATGGTTGCTATGTTTAGCTCTAAGTGAAGGAATTGAGTCCAGGATCGCTGCTTCTTGTGGTGGGTAGTGATACTGGGGAGAGCAGTCATCCAAGATGGGGGCCCAGGACTGCCTTTGTCCTTGGAAGACTCTGGGGTGCACAGATGTGCTGAGTTGGGAAGAGGGGGAATTGGTACAGAGATGGAAACCAGGATGCAGTTTGTCTTGAGCCCTTTAGACCCAATGAAATGTTTCAGCTAGCATCTGTGTGATTGTGTTGGACTGCACTGTGCTTCTGCTGTGAAACCATGTGTTCTGGAGCATCTCTAAGCCAGGCTTTGGGTGTGCTGTAGGAGACAATGGGGCTCCTATCATGCTGTCAGTGCACCTCTGTAAAGAGATGTTTCCAAGATGCCTCTGCAACCCTGAGGGCTGGACTTTCTTTGGGAATTGGGTAGAGGAGTGGATGAAACTGGTGGTAGTCACTATATGGTACATGGAGGAGACCAGGCTGAGTAGCCAGGACCTAGAAGGCTGTGGCTGATGCTCCCAAGGCAGGGAGCAGATAATGGAATGGAAGCTTCCATCTGCCCATCTTGGTTGGTTGGCTGCCCAAGGTGCCCCCACAGTCTCCAGGCTGTTGCCAGCAGTAGAAACATGGTTTGGAGGAGCATCCTTCAGTGGGGGTGGTGAGGGCAGGATTCTGAATCTGGGATCAGCCCAAGGGAGTGGAAGGAGCAATCAAGCTCTGCTTCATGGCAAAGGCCAGCAGGATTCAAAGGCTTCCCAACACCAAGCTGAGGCAGAGCCCATCGATGGAAGGGGAGGTCAGTGCTCTGCCTAATTCTCCAACTTTTCCTTCTGGTAAGCTGCGTGGGCTTGTTTGAGACAGGCTGGATGTCTTTGAGCTGTGGAGCGGCTGGGCATAAGGCTGGTGCCTACAGCTGTGACCTGCTGCTGGCCCTAAATAACTGGGAGTCCAGGGTGAGCTCAGATGCTGTGTTCCTCTTCAAGACCCTGCCTCCTGTTGGGATGCTGCTGTTTGCTGGGGTGGGATCATCTGGGTGCCACTAATCTGGTAATCTTGGAGCAGTGGACAGCCCAATGACCTGTAGGGCCATGAGGATCCTGCTTCGGTGAGCACTGAGTTTTGGCACAGCCTTGGGGTCCCCTCTGCAAGATCTCCTGCACTTCACATTGTGGTGGCTGATGGACTTTCCTGGGGTGGGTGGCTGGAAGCAGCAGAAAACAGCAGAAACGTCTGGAAACAGTGTGTGTTGTTTTGTAACTTGTTGCCTGTTCACTGGGGCTGTCACATAGGACTCATCAGGATTATTTTTTCAGGGCATATGTCCTTAAAAGTGTGAAGCATTCTCCAAGACTTCCGTGGCTGTGGTGTTCGCCCAAGCTCCAGTGGCTTAGTGCTGGCACAGGCTGACCAAGGCAGGCTCTCCCCAAGCGAGCTATTTCTTTTTAGCAGAAAAAAACAGATGTGAGATGCTCTCTGTTCCTTGGGAGCACCCATTCTCCCAGCATCACTGGATGAGTGACTTGGACCAAGATGCCATCAGCAGTGACTTCCCAACCTGCAAGCTGAGGTCTGTGAGCTGCCTCGAAGCTGAGTGGTTCAAGGCACTGGATGCTTCCCGAAGTCCTCCTTCTGAGCAATGGGAATGGATCCTATCATCTTCTGCATGCTTACAGCATAGGATGTGCTGCTTTCTAGCTGGCTAGGGAGTGCTTGCTTCAACTCCACTAAGATTTCCTTGGTGCTGGGCTGAGCTAAATTAGGTCTTGCACATTGTGCAAGGGTTTGCCTGTTTGCCTCCTCAGCTCAGGGCCCTGGAAGCAGGAGGTGTGAGTGAGATGCCTGCTGCTGGGACTGGGAACAGGTATCTGGAGAGTGCTGCTGGGCGATGGTAGTGCTTGTGGTGTGCCTTCCTGACTGACCTTTCCTGCTGTGGGTCAGCTGCCACCTGCTGTGTTTCCAGCTTTGGAACATGCTGCTGGGGTCTTACCGGCTCCCAGAAACACAAGGAAGGGCTGATTTGTCCTGTCCTGTGTAGGGAGGGCTTTCTGACAGCGGGGAGGTGGCAGGACTTCCATAGAGAAGGCAAACAAGAGAAATGCAAGTTGACATCAGACTCCTTTCCAGCTGTGAGCTAATACAGCTCCAGAAGCAATGGTGTGTCTTCCAGTAAAAGCCTCTCCTGCTCTGCTTTCCCATCCCAGTTTTGGATAGCCCCATCCACTCTTTCTCAGCTCCCATCCTTGATGGCTGTATTGGCAGGACCTGCTGCCTTGAGGCTCACTGGAGACAGCCCTGCAGATCCTCTTGCCTAGCTGCATTCCTTCCAGGCAGCTCCAAGAGCAATCTGCTTCCAGTGCCTGGGAAAAGCAAGGCATTTTGAGGGATGTTAAGATAATAATAGAAACTGGCACTGTCAAAGGCTCTGTTTTCTTAAAGAGCATGTCATCTTGGCTAGATGATCCCATTCTTCAGAAGGAGGATGGAATTTCTGTTGGCTAACAAAGGTGCTAGAAGCTTTGGAGTGCACATCTGGGGCAGGAGGTGGCTCCTGAGGAAAGCAGAGATGAGCCTGCAGGTTTGGGGACATGGCTGGAGACTGGGCTGGGTGCACGTGCCCCACTGCCTTGCTGCTCACGCCAAGGGCCGGGTGCGTGGGATGGCGGCCGCTGCTGGGTTAAGTGCGTGGCCTTGTGAAGGAAGGGGGAGTTTCCTGTTGCTTCAGGGCAGGAGGAAACTGCTTCCAGCTGTCGAGGGGAGGAGTGCTGGATGGGGAGATGTGGCTGTGCTGAGCAAGCACCTCCCAGCTGTAGGGTTTGGATAGCTGGGATCCAGCAGCTCTGCGTAGCTGATGGAACTGGCAGGGCTCTCCCTTGGGAAGCATCACAAGAAGGATCTCGGCTCTCCCGCTCTGCCTTGGGGCTGTTCAGTTTCTGGCTTCCCAGGTCTTGTGCTGGTGGAAGGAGGATGCGGCTGTCACAGGCAGCTGTGCTTTCTGGGAGGTGTGACCTTGGTGTCCCTTCCTGGCAGGAGGCTGCTGTCTCAAGGTCCTGGCACTTGCTGTCTGTGTTTTCATTATGAAGCCTCTGGCCTTTCTATCAGGTGACAGACCTCTCCTTCTTCCAGGGGCAGAGGAAGTAGGGTTAGAACAGGGATGTGTCTAGCTTGGAGTACGGTGCTGAGGCCATCACTGGCTCTCAGTAAATGAGTCTTCAGCTCTGTCTCCTCTGAAGACCTGTGGATGTCCTGTGGAGGTCTCGTGCACGAGTACAGGACTGCTGCTGCACGACCCAGTGTACTATAGAGCAGTGTGAAGGTGCTTAGAGAACAGCCGTCCATTGTTCCCTGGCATTGCCAGCTACTATCTTAACCCAGAGTGGCCTTCCTGGTGGCTTAAATTTGAAGGGACCAGAGAGTTCCAGCACTCTTCCATCACTGCTGTGGGCCCGCAGCCTTCTCTTGCCCAGGCTGAACACCCCCAGCTCCTCAGCCGTCTCCATAGCAGAGGTGCTGCAGCCCTGGCAGCATCTCTGTGCCTCCTCTGCCCCGCTCCAGCAGCTCCGCACCCTTCCTGCGCTGGGAGCCCCAGGCCTGGGCGCAGCACCGCAGCTGGGGCCTCACGAGGGCAGAGCAGAGGGGACGGTCCCCTCCCTGCCACTGCCACCCCTCTGTTGGTGCGGCCCAGGATGCTGGTGGCTTTCCGGCCCCCAATGGACGCTGCTGCCTCATCTGTGGCTTTCATCCACCAGAACCACCGAGTCCTTCTCTGCAGCACTGCTCTCGTGAGACCTTCTCCCATCTGTGCTCACAGCTGGGATTGCCCCGACCCAAGTGCGGCACCCTGGCTTGGCCTTGTTGAACCTCCCTGGGTTCACGTGGTCCCGCTCTGTGAGCCCGCCCAGCTCCCTCTGGATGGCATCCCTTCCTCCTGTCGTATCCAGCGCAGCGCTCGGCTCAGTGCCATCCGCAAACTCAATGCCATCATCTGTGTTGCTGATGAAGATGTGAACAGCAGCAGTTCTGAGACAGACCCCTGGGGGACACCGCTCGTCACTAACTGGCTGCAACCATCCAACTTATTCCTTATCCGTTGAATAGGCCAGCCATCAAATCCATCTCTCTCCAACTTAGAGATGAGGACGTGGGGCAGGACCATGCCTAATGCCATGCACAAGTCTAGATAGATGGCATCCATTGCCTTCCCCTTGTCCACCAATGATGTCTTGCCATCACAGAAGGCCGCCATCTGGGTCAGGTTTGACCTGCCCTTAGTGAAGCCTTGCTGGCTGTGTGGGATCACTTATTCTGCTTGCGTGTGCCTTAACATTTCTTCCAGAAGGATTTGTTCCTTGACTTTCCTTGGCACAGAGGTGAAGCTCACTGGCATGTAGTTCCCCAGATCTTTCTTCCTTCCTCCCTTTCTTATAACTGGGAGTGATACTCTTTTTCACTGGGGACTTCACCTGATGACAGCAACTTCTCAGATATGATGGAGAGCAGCCTGGCACGTCTACTGCCTGCTTACAGCCTGTGGCAATGCCAGATGCTGATCATCAGTGACATGACAGTAGTAGATAGCCACCTCCAAGTTGGATGAACCATGAAGCCTCTACTACCAAAGCATTCATTTTAGCAGCTGTGGCATTCTTCACTCCAGATGGGGCTTGCATTCAAAAAGACCTTGCCCATTGTCCCTGTATAGGGCTAGCTTTGGTTATTGTTCCTATGTCTTGTTGGTTCCTTCCTTGTTGCAGAGCAGCACTGGGTGGTAGAGGTGCTTGGGGAGGCCTCCAAGTCCTGCTGGCTCATAGCTCTGCCACTTGTCTCCATTGCATAGTTTGCCCAGAATCTCTTCTGATGGTTGTGTTAGTTTTTAAAAAAGCTCTTTGGGTCTTTTCTGTGTTGAAAGAGGTAGGTTTTACTTGAGTCAAGTGGAAGAGTTCTGGTTTAAGTGTGTTGGCTTGTGACATCTCTCTTGTTGGCCGAGGGCAGACTGGTCACCATCTAGCAGTGATGGCTGCCTGGTGTGAGCCTCCTCTGCCCTGTCTGAGCCTGAATGGAGGAAAAGCTGTAAATATGGGATGTTCGGGAGAGTGTGAGTGTGACTGGGGGATCAGTCCCTTTCTGCACACCTCCAAAGTGACAAGCTTCACAAACAGCCTGGATGGTGTTGCTCAATGTATTGTAGTGAGCTGGGTGTGAATTTTGATGCTGTCTGCTGGTTATGGAACGGTACTTGGGATGTTGAGATGAGCCCTGGGATGGGGAGCTAGCTCCCTTCAGGTGTGTGGGATCCTTTTGCCCTTCTTAACGGAGGACCTGTCCGGGTGCCTGGTGAGCCTCAATCTGTCCGTGCACCAGCCACCAGCGCAGGGCTGGGTGGTGCCAGCACTTAGAGCACTACTTTGGGGTACATCCTGGTGCCTGTTTCCAGTACTGGAGCCATCTCTGCTCACAGGTGGCCTAAAGGAGCTGGGCTCTGGTTGAAATAATCCTGGATCACGGACCTCTGGCGTGGCTTTCTTTTTTTCCAGATGCGCTGGTATCCTCCTTCTGAAGCTACCCAGCAAGGATGGAAGTCTCGTCAGTTTTGTTAGTTTGTTAGTAAGTAACTAATTACTCCTGGAGCCTTGTCTTGTCTGTCCTTGGGCTCCCTGAGCTCCTGTGGGGGGGGGGCAGGACGGGATGTTACCCACCCCATACACCTCATGTAGGATAAAGTTGGCTTTGCTTGATGGGCAGCGGGATCAGATCCACCTCGGCGGGCACAGGGAGAGCGGGGCGGGCCACAGATCCTACCAGCCCTGCTCACTGTCCTCTTTTCCACAGCATCTCTCCTGGGCTCCTGTTCCTCCTCCCTGCCTCTCCATGGAGGGACGTGCCAGGGATGATGGCTCCCACCTCTTGCTTTGGTTTGCGGCCAGCGGACGAAGCGCCCGGCCCCGGCGCGTCCCCCTCCGGACTGTGAAGCCGCCGCACGCCACCTCCATCCCTCCGTCCCTCCATCCGTCTGTCCATGCTGAGCTTCACCACCGGGCTGCGCCGACACCCGGCGAGGGCTCGGTCCTGAGCTCGGCTGAAGGAAACGAAAGGCAAATCGGGTTTTGCATGTTTTCTGGCATGAATTAAAACACTTAACTTGTGTATGTGTGAGTGTAAGTTTGTTTGTTCTAGCGTTTGTGTAACCGTTAGCAACAGGTCCTACGGACTGATCCATCGAGGTTTTCATCTTGCGTCGGTGAAGACTTGGCTCTGAGAAACACGAACTGTCCTTGCCTCACCCCTTCCCCACCTCCGCCCTCCCCCTTCCCAGTACGACCAGAAGAATTTGAAAAATGTTTTTTTTTTTTTTTTTCCCTTTTTTTTTTTTTTTTTTTCCCCTTTCCTCCAAGTACGATGCACTGGGTTTCTGTTCTCATCCATCCTCCGGTTTTAAAATCAGGGTTATTATATTATTATTTTTTTTTTTTTTTCAGACTTCTATATATAGAAAGGCTGTAAGCTATCTAACCTCTTTTATTTTTCTTCCCCTTTTTTTCCACATCCTTCTGATTGGAGAGCATCCAGTCCTGCCAAATAATCAGCCGTCCTTATGGGAATACCGAACAAAAAAAAAAAAGTACGAGTATTTTTGTACCATGTGTAATAAGGAAATATTTATGCATCATAAAGAATTTCTTGTGTGTTTGTGTGCAATTAATTATTATTATTATTATTAAAAGAGAAATTGTAATCCTGTAAGATAAGTTAATGTTTAGTTAAAAGCTTGAAAAGAGAAGGGTTGTCTTCTGTACTAATGATTCAGTTAGGCATCGTAAATGAGAAATTGTGCAATTTTTGTTTTAGCATCTTATTGCTTGGTATTGAAGTGCTTTAAGTATTATATGACCATGGCTGTCTCGCTTGTATTAAAAGATTTGAGAATAAGTTGCTCTATACTTGCTGATCCTATGAGAATGTGAAACTGGATAATATATGAAATGCAACAAAAGAAAAAAATATATATACCCAGAGGCTGCTGTGACTCTGCTGCTGTGTGCTGTGTTCTTGTGGGGCTGGGGGAGGCGCGGGGCACCCCCCTGAGGAGGACATGGGGCTCTTTGCCAGGAAGGCTTCTCTGCTTTTGGGTGTTTTTCTTCCCTCCCCCTGCCTCCCCTGGGCCTGGGGTGGCCTCACATCCGTGCCAGCACTGCTCCTTGTGCAGCAGAGATGTCCATAGAAGGCAAAACGTGCTGGAGCTGCAGCGTGGCCCAGCTCCTTCATGGCTGCGTGAGCAAGCGGCTGCTCTACCCTCATCTCTGCCTGCCCTTCCACCCAGTGCTGGGCCCTTGGGTGCTGCGTGTCCCGTGGGGGTGGTGGTCTGGGCACAGCCAAGGGTGTGGGGTCTCCCTATCTTCCCTGTGGTGCAGGATGAGAGCTGGCATAGGGTGCAGCGGTAGGGCTGTGGGTCCCCTCCTGCTTCCTGCCTGCTGTTCACTGGAGCAGAAGCGCCTCTGAGAGCATCCCCAGTGACAGGAGCGTGTGAGGCTTTAAATTATACAGGAGACTTTTTTTGTTGTTAAAAAAAAAAACCAACAAAAAAGAGGCCTTTAGCACATGCATTAACATGGCCAGGTGATGAATAATTGATGCTCGGCTCTATTAAGCTTTTACACCGGGAGCGGGCGCAGTGGAGCTGAAGTAGGTCATGGCTGCGCTGAGGGTCTCTGCTGTTCCCCCAACCCAGTGCCACTGTGGGCAGCTGTAGTGTAAGGGGTGCAGAGCCACGGTCCTGCTTTGACCCTGACTGCCTCCCAGGGCTGATCGTCACTATGCAAAGGGGCTCCTGGGGCAGGGAATGGCTGTGGGTGAGGTTCCTATGTATCCATACGTCTGTATTAAACATGTATCTATCCACTCATCCATATCTACCAATAGATCTGTGTGTCTCTGTCTGTATGTATGTATATCTCTCCTTGTAGGTGTCTGTAGATACATCTATTTCTAGAGGTACATCTGTTACTATATAGGTATCTATGTACACGTCTATGTCTATACATGGATGTCTGTAGATCTGTAGACAGGTATGGATCCCAGCCCCTGTTTGGACAGGTTGGGCACGCAGCAAACTAGGGAAGCCAGAAGGAAACCCAGAGGCCAAACTCAGTCCCTGCTTGAAATGGGAGCTGAAGGCCAGGAGACCAAGTGCTTAATGCCTGTCTTTGTCCAGGACCAGCTGGAGCACGGGGCTCAGAGATCAGGGCATCCCGTGGAGGCGAGTCTCTTTTGGTCCCACCAGGACCTCTGCAGGATCTGGGACCTTCATCCTATGCTTGTTTATGAAAGCAATCCAGACAACTTCTGCAGATGATTAAAATGGCTCCTGCAAAGCCCAGCAGCTTCCATCTGCTGGTCTGCAGCGGCAGCGCAGGCAGAAGGGCCTCTGCTATGGCCCTCCCTCCCCAGAGCATCCCTTCTCTCTCAGGCTGTCTTTCATGGTTGAAGACGTGACCTCAGGTTGGAGGACAATTGTGCATCTGTGAGGAGAGGACAGGTGGCTCCAACTTGAGCTCTGTGTTGCTTTTCCCAGCCCTGCTGGCGACCTCCTTTCCTTTGCAGAAAGGCCCTACCCAGGTGGCTGCCCACAAAGCTGAACTCCGTAGGAGTTTATACTGATCAGACCTCAGCAAATCCCTCTGATTTGCTATCACTCCCAGCTTCTGAAATGATTTCCCAACTCCACCTTCAGGCACTTGGAATCAGCAATCAAATATTCCAAAGAGGGAGCAGAAAAAGACACAGGTGACATACAAAAAACACAGGTGTGCTCCAAGTGTGTAGGAACAATTGCGCCCTGCACAACAGCTGGAAATCATCATATGGGGGAACTAGCTCAGGTCAGAGCCTCAGGAAACAGAGGCTGCTCTGAACGAGGAAGGCTCGTTGCAGCGTGCTTTGAGACGGGCTGCACAGTACAGTGGGAAAGCCAGGAGGTGGCATCCAAGACCCGAGCACACAAATCCAGAATGGTTTCCCAAGCAGCAGCTTAGGAGTAGGTTACAGCCGGTAATAGCAGATGAAACACATCTGGATTTTGCTCTGCACCTTTCTCTTCACGTTGGGATGGGCAAAGTGCAGGCACTTCAGACAAAGTCATTCTGTGTTAAGTTACCAGAGGGAGATCCCATTTTTTTATCAGCTATAGCATGCCCACAGAAAGACCCCACTGAACCCCAATGGGCTTGCTGAGAGGGTCTGGGCTTCCAGGATGAGGAGTGTGATGCTAACCATCCTAATATGATGCGGGTGAGGAAGCCACCAGCCTACAGCAGTGTAGGGATGAGGCAGCAGATGGCACTAGGAGACCAGCTCAGGAAGATCTGAGCAAGTCAGGATGCTTGGAGGGAGATGAAGCTATCTCTGGAATAGTAGAATCAGAGAAATCATTAGGTTTGGAAAAGACCTCTAAGATCATCTAGTCCAACCATCCACCCACCACCAACTCTGCCCACTAACCATGTCCCTCAGTGCCACATCTACACATTTCTTGAACACTTGCAGGGATGGTGACTCCACCACCTCCTTGGGCAGCCTGTGCAAATATCAGTCCAGTACAGACCCTAGAGCCACTGGGCAAGAGACCCACTATTTCCTACACTCTCTGGGCACAGAAGACTGACTCTACAGCTTTATCTGGTGGGCTTCATGCCACCCAGATAGACACACTCCTTACAGCATCCTCTGGCTCCCAGGAGGGAGTGGAAACCTACTGGGAACCAAATCTCCCTGCCGCTTGCCCAAGAAAGAGAAGAGAAAGTGGAAGGGAATGAGTAAGCTTAGAGGGTTCAGGGTAGAAACATCTTGCGAATGGCCAGGCAGGGGTCACTCAGCCTACACGTGGCACTGTTGGAAGATGCCAGCTGACTGACCTTGCTCTGGGAACAGGGTCTGGTGCTGCAGTTCTAAGCACCACTGTTAGCCAGAATCAACAACAAGCAGCACTGCTTCCACGTGCTTGGCTCAATAAGGCATCTGATGGTTTGACAGACAGCCTGATAAGCACATCACTGCCTTCACCTACAAATGGAACAAAGTTGTTCCTCAAGAAATAATGTATTTCTCACCTCACCACCACCACCCTGCACCCCACAGCTGAGTCTTTCTGGGGATGTTAATGAACGAGAGCATCTCCAATCCCAAGAGCTCATTTCTGCAAGGAAAACATCCCCAAGTAAATCACTGGACACAGGTCACAACTATCCCATTCTGAATCAATCCTTGTGTTTGTGTCCCATGCACATCAAAATGCAGACAAGGATAAAAGGAGAAAATCTTATCAGTTTCACTGCCATATTTTTAGCTTACCCCTCTGTAATCTTACCCATCAGTAATGGAATACTGATTTTCCATGGAAATTACCAGTTGTAAGAACATCCTCTCTTTTATAAGTGCGGTTTTAGGGCAGCCTGGAGGAACTAGAGTAAACCATTTCTCTCGTGCAGACCAGCCTCAATGTGGTGGCATCTTTCTGAAATGCAACTTCTGTATTTTTCAACAGCTGCATCTTAAAATGGCCATCTCTTGCCTTGAGCCGAGTGCTGTGACATGGACATCTTGTGCCTCTAAAAAAGGCTTACTTGGAAATCCCAGGGACCACTGTCCTTGTTGTCTAAAAATGTATTTGCCATGGTTGAAGAACGATAGACACCTCGGGAGGAAGCACGGAGTTCCCATGACGGATTTAGTTTTATTAAACAGACACAGGAAAACCTGTATCTTAAAAAAAAAACCTGGTCCCTTGAAAACTAATCCCTCTTGAGAAAGGGGGGAGTTTCCAGTTGGATACAAGTGAAAAAGACGACACTGAGCTGCTGGACGGGGGGCAAAGTAGTAGAGTGGGATTTCTAACCTTCAAGACTTTCAGGGCATGGCTGGAGAAGCCCTTGGGCACCCCACCTTAGCTTGGAGCAGGAGGGTGGGCTGAGCCTTTCAGCCCTCACACTTTCTCTGATTCTTGCAATTCATGTGGACGTTGAATAGAAGAAGGGATATGTCTGGTTAAGAAGTTCACTCTGGCCACATTTAATAGGAAACCATTTATCACTTAATGCAAATGGATAAATTTCTTTTTAACAGATCTCATTTCTCACTGTTTGCTTCTCATCACGTGCACCCCTAAGAAAGCACTGTGCAAATGAAAAATGGAACAGCTTTTCAAACTGTTTGTGTTCTTAAAAAAGATCATTACACATGCACACACCAACCCAAAGCCAGTAAGTAGCTTGGGTGTCCAAGGAAAATATTCTGTGGTTAAGAGAAAGGTGATCTCCTGCAGATATTTGTTGTCTATTGGATCAGAGTAAAGCTGCGATGCACGTGAGGATCCTGATGTCATCCCAGTAGAATCTTTTTGCATGGACAATAGTGTACATCATTTCTGGTCCTTATTAAAATGTGTTTTAACTCCCTGTGGGGAAAAAAAAAAAACGATGCCAGCTGTTTTAAATCATTCTGATAATATTCTTTTAGGAAATCGTTAATACAGAGTTTATATCAGCACTGACGCTTTTGTGACCAAGATTGCTGGGAGCAAAGCCTGGGCTAAACAACAAATCAGAGCTGTTGTGCAGGAAAACAGGTAGAGAAATGCTACATGGCCAATCTGCTGCTAAATAAGTCCATTAAACTAATCCTGTAAAAAGACAAATATAGAAAAGTAAAAGCAAAAGCACAGAATGCATTTTTTTCATTATGTGATGAAATCAAATTTCTCCTAGTAATTGCACCAGGATCTCAAGCAGAGAGAAGCTGAACTGGTTGCTGTGGCATGTTGTGCCGGACCCAGGTCACACTCAACACACCGAAGTGGCTGCTACGGATATCTTTCAGTGGAAAGCCCCATGAAACTGAAGGACTGGGTTTCCTTTGGCCCAGAGGAGCGCTCTGAGCGTTGCAGGTGATTCAGCTTGTTCCTGTGTAGCGTTGCCCGGCAGGTGGCCCAGAACAACTTTTCATTTTCAATCCAACAAAAACAAGAGGCAACTC